TCACGATGCCAGCTCTATTGGTTCATCCAAATCCAAATTGTACCAAATTTAGTACTATTTATTACACATAAGTACAAATTGACTATGACTACCTAAATTGTACAAACCAATAGTAATCTTATTTCCAAATTTCAAGATCCAACTCTACGTGTTGTCTTAAAACTTAAATTGCATCAATTTTAGTACTTTTCGTGCACATAAGTACAACTTTTGAAAACTACCTACATATCCCAATCCAATGCCATGTTTACGTTAGAACTTTTTGTAGGGTTAACCTACTTTGAGAGGATTTATTTGACGTAAAAGTAATGGATATGACAATTTAAATCCAAATAAACGTACTGCAACACTCCACCAGTAAAGTTTATTTTAAATTTCAGGATTCCAGTTCCATCCGTTCTTTCAAATCCAAATTCTACTCAATTTAGAACTATTTAGTGCTTTTCGTATACATGGGTACACACTTCCAAAACTACCTCCTTACATCGCCCCTAGTCCTCAACCTTGATTCCCATTACAAATTTTAAGCATTTAGCTCTAACCGTTCACATGAAAAGAAATGGTACCAAATGTAGTAGGTTAGGTTAAAGGATGTGTGGTTGCATAAAAACAACCACTCCACTCGGAGACCTAGTGGTCCATTGTGATCATCCTAATTTAGAAAAGAAGTTAGGAGGTTAGAATAGAAAAGATAGGAAAAAGGTAGGAAAAAGAAGAGTTAGTGGGTTTTCATCCACGCTATAGTCAGCGTGTCGTCCTTAGCCATTTTAGTCTTCTGGCTAGCTGAAGAATAACTACTGGCTCGGTTTCGGAGAGGCATGACAAATCCGGCAGAATTTGCTTACCTAAAAGCCTATGTCTTACTCCGATCAGAGTAGGACAGTGACAGAGTAAGTGTTCCACCGTTTCTGTTTCTTCCTCATCTTGGCAAAGCCTGCAGTATTCAGTGTCGTCACCCCCCCATTTTGAAGTCATGGCTTTTATGTTGCAATGACCTGTAATTAGACCCACCACAAGCTTCAAGTCCAACTTCGTCATGGATGTGAGTGACCGTGATCTCTTTTCTGAGTTCACTGGCCAAATCTTTTTGGAGATGTTACATCCCCTTCCAGATAGCCAGTTTTGCTGAAATCTCCCAAGATAGTGATTATGAAGTACTTGAAAGAAGTGGCATAAAGGTGGCTTCACTGAGGTCTCAATCTCTAGATCTACTGACTCAGATCCGCGTCTGGCCAATTCATCGGCAGATTCATTGCCAGAAATGTTGCAGTGTCCAGGAACCCAACAGAGCTTAACAAACGACTTAGCCTTTTCCAGGGCAGTTTTGCACTCCAGAACAGCCTTAGATTTGATTATAAAAGAATCTAGAGCTTTTAGGGCCGCTTGACTATCGACATATATAGTCACCGGTCCATTCCGCTCATCGATTCTGTTTTCCAACAGCTCTATGGCCATTCTGACAGCAAAAATCTCTGCCTGAAAAACACTACAATCGCTGTTTAGTCTGAAGGATCGTTGGATACCTAAACTTTCACAGTAGACTCCAGCCCCCGTTCCACTGTCCATCTTTGAACCATCAGTATAGACAGCTATACCGTTAAAAGGTGGAGTGCCACGGGACCAGATATCCCTGTTTGGTATGCAGATATCGAGTAATTCAAAGCTGTGCCTAGGGAGTATATAGTCGCTAGCAATAGCCTGATTACTTACATTCTCCACATACTTAAGAATGACAGAGTGTCCGATGGATTGGCTCCGCCATTGTCCCAGTTCATTGAGTCTCAGGGCACACCTAGCAGCTAGTTCCTCTACAAATAAGCCTAACCAAATATAGTACATTTTAATATTTTGCCTACACTTATAGAGCGAATTTCCAAAAAACGCTTTGGTACATACATCACACACGCCATCAGTGACCCTCAATCCAAATTAAGCTCTACTGGTTCGCCAAATACGAAGGGGTACCTTTCTAGCACACATTTCCAAAAACCCAGCCTTACCTGACACCTTCGGAACATACTTTCAAGATTTTAGCACCAGTAAATGAAATCAGGTACCAGACTCTATTTACACCAGTTGAAACGTGGACAACTAGACGACAACTGAATCCGAGAGAAGTGAGTTAGAGAAAGCAACTCTGTAGCAGGGTCAAATCGAGAAACCAGATTACTCACGTTGTCAGAGCCCAATCTAGGACCTCATCAATTTGATCCAGCGTGTTGTCCATGCCACTGATAGCGAGAAACCCCGGATATTCGCCACCACCTCATACTTACCAAGAACGAATAATATATTTAATAAATATTTAATAAACCTTGGTATCTCTACGAAAACTATACACAAAGCTACTCTCATTACTCGGGTCACTGAACAAAGTTAAGTTCTCCGATGTAGCTTAGTTTCCGCGAACATAACTCAGCAAACGGCACAAACCGTGGCGTTACTGTGGCGCCCATAGGGGCGTATTACCCGTTTACTAACATGCTATATAAGGGGCACATTACCCGTTTACTAAAATGCCTACGACATTGCGAACATCATCGGCTTACAGTCTCCAGAATGAAAAATAAATAAATGATAAATGAAACGGTAGAAGAACTGTGAACAAGGATCCGAATTTTTAAAGTAGTAGTAATGATAAGGATGTTCTCGAAAGGTTATTGCAGGACTTTATGACCAGTCACCATACAAGACAGTGAGTTAACTGTATCACCAAAGAAACCCCAACTGTATCACCAAAGACGAGTCCTATTGAGGTAAAATCACCACTCGAAATCGGCAGCCCATCGCAACTAGCAGTACAAGGTTTTTGATGTAGAAAACCACCGCACATCGATATTCGAGCCGTAGCCAAGCCAAGGAAAGTTAGCTTCTACTGAGGCCAGGATCCATTGAAATTTATTGAACGAGGAAAGAGATGGCCAATATGTACGTTCTACAACCTGTTTCCGATGATTATATTATTAGGGACACAGCCCTAGTATGGATCAGGAATAATAATAAAAAGTGGGAAAGTTGTAAAGATTTAAGAGGAGATTGACAGCACTTCTTCCAGCCAGCTTGATTTTTTAACATATGGATCACAGCATCAAACTCAATATGTCATTAAGGCCACCATATACCTGTGCCACTAACTGATACCCTTCTATCTACAGGGTGAGATAAAAAAACTGCAACAAAGTCAAACGCTATTAATTTTTAAATTTTTTAAATGTTATTGAATGAAAGCAAAAATGTCGGAAATAGCATCAAATTTTAGAATAAGTTTAAATTTGCGCGAATTGGTCTCCTTTGGCACAAATTATGGCCCTCAGCTGACCTCTTTCGTAAGTGAAGATAATCATTTTGTTTGTTTACAAACTGCTGGACAAGGAATGTTTTCTCATGGGAGAAAACCAAATTCGGCAGTTCATCACTTTCGGCCAAGCGAAGCTACTCTTTAGAGTCTATTTTCTTTCTGTTGAGGTGTAAGTTCTTGCACCTTTTGGAATTTCAATGGCTCTACCCCGAGCTCATTTTTCAATATTTTCCGAATGGAATATTGCGATATGTTTAGCTCACGAGCCATTTTCGGACACGCGGGTTTCGATCAAGTCGCTTCTTTACTTTTCGAACCATTTCTGCCGATATTGCCGTTTTCTTTTGTCCACTTCCTTGACGTCAGGTTACGCTACCAGTATCACGGTAACGAGCGATGGTAGGAGACACAAAAAATTTATTCACATTTAAATGCTGGATTGCTCTAACGATAGCCACTTGTGGTTTTCCAGCCAAATATAAAGAAAACACACTAAAACGCTTGAATGCCAACACGAATAACTTTTTTTCTGGAAAATTCTCACCAAAATGCTTTTGCCCGCTTGTAAACAATATAATGAGCTGTCACTGGAATAATTTTAACAGCTGTCGGACGAGTGGCTTAGAAATGACAGCAGTCTGAAGTTGGTTGCAGTTTTCTCATCTCAACCTCTATTTCTTATGCCGGATATCACAGAAGACGTATTTCTCCATCCGAAGAATTGCAGTTGGAGACTGTGCATGGATTTCCGGCACCTCAATTCCAAGTCGGATCCCCTTTTCGTGAATACAGGTGATTATGAACAGGCTCCGAGAGGCTAAAAACGTCACAAACAATAAATCTAAAGGACGTGATACAATACTTTTGCCATTTTTGGCTGCACGAAACGTGGCTAGAGTTGTAGGCTACACGCCGAAGTTACGATTTAAATTTTGATTTTATAAAAATAACAAGTCAACAAAGAAGCATAAACAATCAATTTTTGGCACCCAAAATATATTTGATATGCCATAAATTTGAACCAAAAACTAATTGAGACGGATCAGCGATTTTCGTATACACTCCTAAAAACTCAACAGTTCCATTGGAAGTTCTAGATGGAATAACTCATGAAAACAGTATGATGTGAAATAATAAAATTAATTTACCAGTTGCGGAGTGGGTTGCAAGCATAGCATCTGAAGGAAGCGGAAATGGCAGCACTCTTGTACACAGAACGAGGAAAGCCATTTTGTTCGATCGTAAAGACGGATTAATAGAATGGCGAACAAAACTACCGACAAAATTTGTTCAGCTCTGAAAAAAAACTGTTGTCGATATTGATTTCATAGAGTTGGAAAGTCCTGACCGAGTGCAACTCGGCTCCTTCCCCTTTCGTTTTAAATTCTTGTTTATGTAAAATATTTCAACAAACCTAACGATATGCATTATTGGAACTCTAATATCCACCTTTACCTTTACACTTAATTAATCTAAGAATAGAGTGTTTCCATTCGTTTTGTAAAAACGACGAAAGAAATAAAACACACATTTGTTTGTTAAACACTGGGGTACTTCATAAAGTTTTCATATATATATTTTATAAGTTTTTTTTTTTTTTGGTTTTAAAAACATATCTCTTGTTCATTATGCTGTTCTATATAAACTATTTGTTTGTATAAAAAACCTACAATAATTAATGATTTAATTTGTTATTTTTGTAAAAAAAATTCGTTAAACTATTATTGAAATTCAGACCAATTGTTTGTGATTCTCTTTGTTTTTTGTTCGTGAAATTAAATAGTTTGCAATAGTCAATAATTTATATTTGCAATATTCTTGGGTTTTTTGATTTATGTTAACAATTTTTAGAGATTTTTTTCTTTGTATTTTAAAGGAGGATTAGTATAGGTGTTGAGATATTGTTTGAATTGACGGTAAATCGAGATAAAAAATATGTTTCAAATCAAGAAAGAGAAAAACAATAATATCTTGCGTAGAAAAAAATAAAATATATTATTAACTAATAAAAAATCAATTAGATTAAACAAATTTAAAAATTAATTAAAAAAATGTAAAATGACACTTGATTGTTCGAAATGGTTTGTTTCTTTCTTTTCAAAATACTGTGAAATACAAAATAAAATGCACACTTTTGGCAATTGTGTTATAACAATATTAGCATAATGTAGCTGTGTATGTTTGTATGTGGTAAAAGGGGACATAGAACATTTGGGCTTAAACATAATTGTAAAAAATTATTATAAAGAAGAACATAGACGACAGCATAGTGGATAACTTATATTACTGGGGTTTTGTAAATGGAAAATTGGATTTTAGAATTAATTGTATAAGTATAATGATTGCAAACGGAAATACAAGTACATATTTGAAAAAAAAAAAAGGAATTTATAAGTGAACCTTAAGAGATTCCATACGTGCAACAATACGGCGACGTAATTCAGCATATCTGAAAAAAGATAACAAACGAAATTTAATTAGTTGATAGTTGTGTTACCATAAAACAAGGTATTATTATTGTTATTAAAATATACGTTAATAAGGAAGTTTTAAATTAACTGAGTCTCTCAACCCTTAGGGACCATAAGCGTATCATTCTTCCTACTTTAGGAATACAGCCAGATTTTGAATTTAGATTGAAAACTCGAAGTATGCCAACATTAAGGACTAATACAGGGTGATATGAAAAAACTGCAACCAACTTCAGACTGCTGTCATTTCTAAGCCACTCGTCCGACAGCTGTTAAAATTATTCCAGTGACAGCTCATTATATTGTTTAAAAGCGTACAAAAGCATTTTGGTGAGCATTTTCCAGACAAAAAGTTATTCGTGATGGAATTCAAGCGTGATAGTGTGATTTCTTTATAATTAGCTGAAAAACCACAAGTGGCTATCGTTAGAGCACTCCAACATTTAAATGTAAATAAATCTTTTGTGTCTCGACCATCGCTCGTTACCATGATACTGGTAGCGTAGTCCGATGTCAAGGAAGAAAGCAGCAACAGGACGGAAGAAAACAGCAACATCAGCAGAAATGGTTCGACAAGTAAAGAAGCGACTTGATCAAAACCCGCGTCGCAGTGGCCGAAAAATGGCTCGTAAGCTGAACATATCGCAATATTCCATTCGGTAAATATTGAAAAATGAGCTCGGGGTAAAGCCATTGAAATTCCGAGAAGTGCAAGAACTTGCACAGCAACAGAAAGAAAATGGACTCAAAAGAGCTAAAGAGTTGCTTCGCTTGGCCGAAATTGGTGAACTGCCGAATTTGATTTTCTCCGATGAGGAAACATTCGTTGTCCAGCAGAAACAAAATGATCGCGTTTACTTGCCAAAGAGGTCAGCTGAAAATGTGCACCTTCGGTTGGCCACCAGAACACAAGCGCCGGCCATGGTGATTATGTGGGTCACCATTATAGCCAATGGTCACCTCCACTCGTATTAATCGACCGTGGCATCAGAATAAATGCCGAATATTATCGCGAAAATATATTGGAGGGTGTATAAAAACCTAGGGCACGCAAACATTTTGGCCGCAGACCTTGGACATTCCAACAGGACTTAGCACCATCGCACTCAGCACGCGCCCCCCAAGAATGGTTGCAAAATGAGGTTTCTCGCTTCATTTCCAGCGCACAATGGCCACCAAAATCTCCGGATACCAATCCGATGATATATTGTGTCTGGAGAATTTTAGAAAAAAAGTTGGCACTAAAAAATATGAAAGTGTCCATCACCTCAAGCAAGCGTTCGCTGGGAATGGGCCAAAATTCCGCAGAGCAACATTCGGGCAGCGTGTGACGGTTTCATTGACCGTTTGAAGGTCATAATTCGTGCCAAATGTGATGCTATTTCCGAATTTTTTTTTCTTTCACTCAATAAAATTTAAAAAAAAAATGTAAAAATTATGGCGTTTGACTTTGTTGCAGTTTTTTTATCTTACCCTGTATATGAAAAAATAAAACATTGAAGAGGTTAAGTAAAAAAAATGATTTCAATTAATCAACCAACCAATACCGAGCTCGGTCATTTCATTCCAGCAATACATTTAAATTCTGTGTCGAAGCCAAATTCCAAACAAAGAAAGAGTTTATCACACTCTATTGTAGAATTCAACCATTTAAAGTTAGAGAATTCCTGCTAAGTGCACGGGATGTGTACTGTGACATGGCCCATTATCTGCTATGAATAAATTACTAAACAGAAACAATGAAGTTCGCTAACACTGAGATCTTGATTTCAAGCGGGGACAAATAAAAAGTTCTCACACTGCATCAGGTCGGGGTTTCTTTATAAGGTGAAGGATCCAAAGAAAACATGATAGCCGAATCATACTCTTAAAAATTTAAAATGACTTTTTCGTTAAACTTGTATAAACCGGAAAAGATTTTCGATGTCATGAGGGCAAAAGAATATATCAAAATACAGGAAACTGAGATGGCAGAACAGGCGACTATCGACGCGGATAGTAAGGCGTCCCTTAAAACTAATATTAGCTCTGACGTCGTCCTAAAACATTAACTAGTCATAGAAATTGTACATGCCCGCCTGTGTGGGCTACCGGGTAATTTCAAGACAGAAGCAACTGAGAAAGCTGAGGAATAGTCGAGAAACGACACGCAGATTCAAGACCTTGAAGTCATTTGCTCAATAAAGGCAGAAGCTAGATGAACTGGTACAATGGAATTAAAATCAATCTGGCCGGTATGAAAAAATCGTGGCTACGGATGAAGATTGGGATCACTATTCAGGCTACAACATTGCAAGGTGAGAATGTGGTAAAGGCTAGAGTCAACGCTCAGTTCAGAAACCCTTTGGCTATGTAAACACTGAATCCGCAATCATTAACAATTATAAAGAACCTAAATAAAGAAACCTGATTGGCTAAAGCTATGTAATAAACCTAAAATTGACATCATTTCACTGTTGTTTAGAATTATTTTAGGACCATCTGAATGGATTAAAATTTCAACGGATGGAGCAATTATTTTTTTCTAAAACAGAAAAACCGCAAAAGCCCTTAAGCATTTCCAAACCGAATTCTCTACTTTGTGAGATCAGGCTAAACTTGTCGCACGGAAACCTTGTGCCTCACTGCAGAAGTACTTCAACCTCTAAGTACTTCAACCTCTAATTGAAACAAAAAAAAAACTATAAATCTGATGAAGATGATCAAAGTCCTTTTCCCCCGAGGGGTGATAGATATTTCGACATATTTCGAAGTTCGCCGACTTCATTAGGACATTTAATGGGCTGATTCCTTGTTGTAATCTGACTGCATCAATAATTGCTGAAACGGGCAGTTAGTAAGATAATGGTTTCTTGGACGATGAAGACCAATATCCTTAAAGATGTTTAGTATGCCATCAACATTTATCGATCCCTGTGGACTTGAAAAGTAACAATAATTCGGTCATGTTTTGAGATTAGAATTTGTTATTTCGAACCTTTATGCTAAATAGGTTTTCATTTGACCTTTTTCATATACTTACTTATCTTTAACTTTGGTTACTTCACGGTCCAATTCCTGATCGTAACGTTCTAGAATTGCACGACATTCGGGTAGTGATAAATTTAAAAATTGAGCAACTTCATTGCTAAAAGATAAAATATTTATTATTAATTCCTTGATAGTAGCATTATATTTGAAGAAGAAAAACTTACCTTATTTCATCGGTTTTCTTGGCATCAACTAGAAATAGTTTGGCTACATCTTCATGGGGTCCAAGCATAATACGCGTAATCAATGGGTATTCATTCTCTTTGAGACGTTTCTGTTCACCGTTGTCGCGTATTATAAATAAGGAAAAATTCTCAGCAGGGCTGTCAACTTTATACTTTTCCAAAAGTAAATTGATTACTTCTTGTGTTGTCACCAGTGATGTTACCCATACGGACATTTGCGAACCATAGGGTGGAGTAAAGAATGATGTTTCACGATTATAAAAGTGACCGTTAATGGAACAGCGACGTTTTAGTTTTGTGCGGGATCTAAAAACAAAAAGGGGCAAAACTTACTTTGGAACTGTATGACAAAAAAACACACTTGTTATCTTACCTTCTGTTGCCACTACGTCTTTTGATGGCTGCAGCACCAGTACGTGGTGGCCTTCGCAATACCACGCCATCTTCGGTCACATGCAAAGGCTGATCGTCGTCATCCAAATGTTCCGGATATTTTCCTTTATTGCTTGGTCTACTATCACCTGCTGTGGCCGTAAACATTTCTTCCGACTGGGTCAACTCATCACCAGCCGCTGCACCACTTTGTGAAGTTGACGACTGGCCAGCATTTCCCTGCCGACTCGAATCACATTCACTACTGCCCTGCCCGCCACCTTCTTTGGGATAACAATTCATATTGATTTGTATAAATCGTGGTGGTATATCACTTTTACGTATTGTTGCCGAAATGTGATCGCCAGGACCGATTTGGTTTGCTGATCTACGTTGTGGTTTCAGCGTAGAATCATCATCGTCATCATCACTGGATGAATATGCTGCCATGCATGATGGCCCCGACTTTGATCGATTTATACCCTTTTCAAAACGTCCATTTGTAATAAGTTGCGCCTGCGCAGAACCACTCTTTTGCAAAACATAGGGGGAACGCTTTTGTGGTGAACCACTTTCAGACATCCGCAATGCCAAAGTATCATTGATAAATGTGGCATCAATGGAGCGCAAAGCGTGTTCACAATTAAAACTTTTACTCATTGGATTATCGCCAGAGGCATGGCTGTAAAGCTTCAGAGAATCGTGTATGCGTGATGGATCTATTGGTTGATTACGTTTTAACGTATCATCATTGGGTTCTTGAAATGAGTTGGCACCATTAACGTAGTCCTGATGAACGCTACGTTTGAAATCTTCAAAGTCCATGGGTTTCAAAGTGGCATCATCGGAGGTTTCATAATTATCTACAGTGGTAGTGGAAGTGGTGGCATTGGTGGTGGTGGTATCCCTTGTGCTGCTTGTGGTGGTAGCCATAGAGCCGGTGGCCGTTAAGAAGTTATCCGAAGAAGTGGTATTATTAGAAGTTGTGGCCGATGAAGGTGATGAAACAGGTGAGGAGGATGTTGTTGAATTTTTCGAGGAAGTTATATCTTCGAGATTTGTTGTATCTGTACTCATTTGATTGGAAACTGTTTTGGAGCTGTCCGATGTTGGGGACGACGACGATGAGTTTTGGGGTGATGTTGAGGGCAAACGCACCGGCATAGTTTCATAGATTTTATCCTTTTCACTGACACGCCTTTCCACCTGCAATAGATCATCAATTTCATCCCATTCCAATTTCACTAATTTATCCAGTTTTGAAGGCAGTGTTGAGCTAACACCATTTGTAGTTGTTGATGTGTTCGTCGTTGTCAAAGATGAACATTGATCATCGCATAGGGTGGATGTATTGGTCGAAGATGTATCAACCTCGTTACCATTTGCAACTCCACCATCTCCGCCATTTGTTATGTTTTGAGTACCCGTGGTGTTGGCAGAGGCTTCTTCTGGTGTAGTTGGTAGATCAGGAAATTCATTTAAACTACACGAATCGAATGACATACTTTCGGTGAGTGATATGTCTGTTGATATGGCATCGACCTGGTCACTGGTTGTTGTACCAACATCTAATGATTCACTACCATCATTGTTCTCTTTGTCCGATGAATCTGCTTTTGACATACGACACGAGTTACGTTTGCGCACTACAAAGGTACGTTGGTCGTCGTCTTCCTTAAGATGAATAACACCCTGAACACCCCAATATACACGCAAGGCCCCTTCGAGAATTAGACGATTGTTAACTTCTCTGCTACGCACTTCCATGCTTTTATTGTCGTAAAATTGATTATAGACCTAGAAAAGAAATGAAAAAAACGATAAGAATGGAATTGAATATATTTCGCATTATTCACAAATCGTCTCCTCGGAAAATTTTTGAATTTTGTAATTTTTAAAGTTCAAATCCAAATTGATTTTTTTTTTTCTACCTTTAACTTTGATTCCAAATGATCTCTGGGTAAAGATGGACCATTTTGCTGTCCAGGTCTTTGAAAAGTTTTATTGCCAAAACTTTTATGAGATTCTACACGAGTACCATGCCCAAACAATTGTGGTCCAAATAGGGCTCCATAGCATGGTACATGACAGTAAGGCACACCTTTATGCTATGGGAAGAAAACAAAGAAAAACAAAAGAAAAAGTGTTAATTGAAACTTGTTGTGGTGACAAAGCCAAAGGCAATGTACACACCCACCTCAGCATGTTGTCCGGGATTCAAACGTTTGCCACACTCCTCGCAGCGTAAACATTCGGGATGCCAATCATAGCCTAAAGACTGTTTACGCTCCGCTGAATAGAAAACAGAATAACAAGATAAATTAATTTCATTCATTGTTCCTTCCAGCTGAATTAAGGTTAAATAACTCACCGAAATAGACGGGCTTTCCACATTTATGACACTTCCACATTTTATTTTTTTGCGCTGAGAATTTATGCTGAAAATCCTATATTAAGAGGCTTGCTCCAATTTTGACCTGTATATGTATTTGTGTGCGTTTTTATGTGTGACACCAGCATCAACATCCAAATGCATGAAAATCAGGCTGAAAGAATGAATTTATTGTTTTAAGTGGGCAGCTAAAGGTAATTGAACTTAAATGGCCTAAAAAGCCCAAGCAGCGAAGTAACAAAGAACTAAAACTGAAAATAATGGCAGCTCAATTATAATCTCACAATGCAGAAGGTCTTGATCACATAATCCTTACATCTCGAAACATGTAATTTTATTTTTAAATTGTATTAAAAAATCTTTTTTGTCTATTATTTCTGGGATATTCTCTGTTACGTTGATTCTTTCCCACACAATACCCTTCTTCGACGCAGTAGTACGTGTTTTGTTTATTAAAAAAAATTCCAGTGTATTATAAATTTATAATTTATGCATATTCACAGAATACGTTCTATTAGCTCGTTTGTTGTATTTTCTTCTAGAGTTGAGTACACCGCCTCCTTCTTTTTTACTCCATGTATGATTACTATTATGGCTAGTCGCGACTGGTCATTCACAGCCGAACATGTATGTTTTGTCTATCTGTCTGTCTGACCACTTACACTTGCACCTGTTTCTTCTCCTATGGTTTTTTGTTTATTTTATTAATTGTTTATATTACTTCAACAGTCATACCATAAGTCGTTTATTGGAATCATGAACTATGCTATTTTCGCCAAAGTAACTATTGGAAGTTGCTTAATTTAGCATTTTTCGCCCATTTATAAGTTTGCTGTGGCAGAATTGAGGAAAAATTGCACTTACAGATGGTGTGTGTGCGTGTGTATGTAAAATTAGAACTTGTAATCAGACAACGAAGCAGAACGGGTTTTTTCTACGGCGGCGGCTTTTCATGTGAAAACCCAACGGCGGTGGAGCGGCAGACTCTGTACACAAACACATTAACAACTATTATACAAGTATACACCAATACACAGAGAGTAGCGAATGAAAGACAAAGCAATACATAGAATGTATAGAAACTGGAAGAAGCAACACGCCGCTACAGCTGTTTGGCTCACCCGAGGAAAAAAAGAATGAGAGTTGTTATCGTTCTGTGCCAGTTTCCAAAATGTATGTGTTTGCTGTAGAAAATGGGGATGATACTCGAAGAAGTCGTTTACAATATTCGCCAGAATTGATGGAAAATTACACTTACAAATTGTGTCCCGTCTATATGTAAAATTAGAACATGTAATTCTCTTAAGGTTTTGTTTATTTTACTTCTCGATTAATCGATATGACAGAAATGTCAAACTTCCTTGAGAATCGAAATATCGATCTTTCTATTGGAGCTTTATAACTATGTTCCAGGTTCGTCGCCTAATGGAAGGGAGTTCATATGTGAAGACCATTATTTTCCATCAGACATGATTGTCAATGAAAATTTATGAAAAAATTGTACATAATATCTCTGTTCGAAAATGTACTAGTTTTGTAATTTTTTTGTATATCATAAAGAGAAAATCGGTCATAATAATAAAAACTGTAATGTGGCGTTTCCACTACACTTGATTCGCTCTCTATTCTTTGTTCGACCCTTAACTATGAAAAAACTACTTAATTCTTCACACAAAATTTCCTGAGCGAACACTCATATTTGTACATTGTTCGAATCAAATCACTCTCCGAACAACGAAAAAATATGTCCCATCCCTAACAAATGAGAGCATTTATCGAAAAAATAATTTATGACATTTAAAAATTAAAACTAGAAAAATTTAATGAAATTTTAAAAATTTTTTGGAAGACTGAAAATTATGAATGAAAACTACAATGTTGAATGGCGTATGTACATTCAAACGAAAGTACATTTTGTTTTCTCTTTCATTCGCGGTACGCATTTTGTCCGCGAGTTGAAATTTCCACAGAAAACTGCAAACAAAAGAGCAATATTTTCAAAATGTTTGTATCGGCAGAAAAAAATTTTTGACAAGTGTCTCTCCAGCAGAATTTAAAATTAAAAAAATACAAAAATATGTTCAAAATGTCAATATTTACACAAAAACTTGAAAACATGAATGAAAATTGTAAAATTAATGATACAATTATTCTTTGGAAGAAAAACAATAATTTCTTCTATTCATATTAGTGAGAATTTCATGTATTTTTGTATAAATTGCCATTCAAATCAACAAACAAAATTTGTGAAAAAAAGTAATTTTTTTACTATGAATTACGAATCGTGCCGTATGAACGGGTTAATTCGTGTACCTAATTCTGAGAGCGAACAACGTGATTGAAAGTGTAATGAGAACATAGCATAAATTTTGTTTTCTCACTCATGTGAAGTGCGCATTTTTCCACGGGTTGAAAATTCCACAGAAAACTGGAAACAAAAAAAGCAACATTTTCAAAATGTTTGTATCGGCAGAAAAAAATGTTTGTCAAGTGTCTCTCCAGCAGAATTCAAAATAGAAAAAATACAAAAATACGTTAAAAATATCAACATTTACACAAAAAGTTGAAAACATAAACGAAAATTGTAAAATTAATGATATAATATATCTTTGGAAGAAATAATTTTTCTATTCATATTAGTAAGAATTTCATGAATTTTCGTATAAATTCCCATTAAAATCAACAAACAAAATTTAATGTGTATATGGAAGTGCACACAATCACGGCACCGGCGAAAATTTCGTCGGTCGCCGCGAACTCAATTAGCTTTATTTCTATTTCATACGCCGGCGAACAAAACAGTACAAGGTGGCCATACTTGTACGAATTTTATGTGTTTTAGTAAATAAAGTTACTTTTTACTTTAAAATTTGTTATGGTCACTCTACTATCTGTTACTCGTATAAAAAAAAAAAACATAATTAATTTGTTTATTTATTTGTGTACTTGCGCCTGAGTGAAGATGGATATCAGTGAATTTATAATAGAGAAGATGGACATTAGTGAAATTATAATAGAGAACGTAAAGAATTATGTGTTCTTGTATAATTCATTGTAGTCAACAAATGAGCAAAAAGTAAACAACTTCATCAGCTGTTTTATAATTTCGTCGGTATTGTGTTCCATACGACGAATTTTCGCAGCTCATTTTGTCGCCGCGTAGGGCGAAATTCGTCGTTCGCTCCAATTGTGTTCCTAGCATAATGCTAGGAACACAATTGGAGCGAACGACGAATTTCGCCCTACGCGGCGACAAAATGAGCCGCGAAAATTCGTCGTATGGAACACAATACCGACGAAATTATAAAACAGCTGATGAAGTTGTTTACTTTTTGCTCATTTGTTGACTACAATGAATTATACAAGAACACATAATTCTTTACGTTCTCTATTATAATTTCACTTATGTCCATCTTCTCTATTATAAATTCACTGATATCCATCTTCACTCAGGCGCAAAACAAAACAAATTAATTATGTTTTTTTATACGAGTAACAGATAGTAGAGTGACCATAACAAATTTTAATTTAAAAAGTAACTTTATTTACTAAAACACATACAATTCGTACAAGTATGGCCACCTTGTACTGTTTTGTTCGCCGGTCGCCGGCGTATGAAATAGAAATAAAGCTAATTGAGTTCGCGGCGACCGACGAAATTTTCGCCGGTGCCGTGATTGTGTGCACTTCCATATACACATATGTGTTTTATTTTTGACGACGAACATACGCCGCGAAAAAATTCGTCGTTCGCTCCAATTGTGTTCCTAGCATAATGTAGCATCTGATAGTTCAATTCTTGTAATCGTCATTGCTGATGGGTATTGTTATACATTACGTTACCCACTAACTGTTCTATGTCTTTACCCACTAAAATCATCTCTGACTACTGAGTATTCGAGTAATTTACTCTCTTACAACACTACAACTACTTACGGCTCGAAAGTTGGCAGTTTTTGCTTCTGCAAGCAAAATAATTGAAATAAATCGTGAAAAACATATAGTCTGGAAACAACGAAAACTTGCAAAACGGATAAAATTCTTAAGAAAAAGTAGATAGCAATCAAAATCCAAAATTAAATGCGCGTTTAGTCAAGAAAATAACGTGAAATGCAGTGAAAGAGTGTGATTAATACAAAGAAAAACGGTGAAACAAGAGGATACGCTTCGTCAAACAACGAAATACACAACGACACAAGAGTGGAATACACAACAGGATCTTGAAGCGCAACAGCTGAAAGTTTGGCACCAGTGATTATATTGTTGTTGTTGTAGCAGTTGTTATAAAGGCTCTAGGCTCTAAAGGAATCCAAGTAGTTCAGTTGAATACACTGTGTCACTCTCTACGTGTCTCACATTCATGCACATATTACTGGCATACACGGATGCAACAATAATAAAACGAGTTAAACCATTTTTGTGGAGATTTACTCATTTGTTACGCCAGGGCGTGTGTGTTTGTGTGATTAATTTTTTATGCGAATGTGTCTGCATGTGAAGTTATAAGAAAACAAAACGTACACACAAAGGCAAAAAGTGGCTAAATATGAGACCTACCATAGAGTTTGAGGAATGTCTCAAGGATTCTCCAAAGTTTAGGTAAGCAAAACAACGAACGTGCCCAAAAAATTACAACTTCTTAGAAAACACATCAGAAACCCCAGATCTACGTTTGTTGAACATAAAAATAAACAACCTATTTTGTTGCTGCAGAAGAGGGTTGATTGTATTGTTGTTTTTGTTCACCAGACACATATGAGGATGACACAAAAGCAAAAATAATACGAAACGAATCTCTAGATAGATTGCGGTTTACTTTTACTGTGTTTTGCGTTGTACGTGTATTGAAATGCGGACAGACCAACCGACCGACTGCTGGACGGTCATAGGGATTGGCAAACTCAATGACAGTGGATGAATGATAGAACGCTCAGTCAGATATTTGTGATAAACTCTAAGTTACGCCCCTATGTAAAGTGGTTTGAGTAGAATGCAAAAGCAACGAAAATAGCAGTAACCACAGTGAAATCTATACAGCCACAACGTCTACATACATTTGAATCCAACGAATCATGCAATATTGAGTTTTTATCGTACATTTTCATTTCTATTTTGTTTAAATTGAATTGACGCTGGAGCGATGACGAGTTTTAATGTGTATGCTGTTGTTTGTACTAGCTATAATTAACATGTTTAAAGTTGAAATTGTTGAACAGCGACGTTCTTTAATAGCCAATTGCCGCCACCACATCCATACACATACTACTTTTTCCATTCTCTTCATTGACAAATCGAGTTAGAATTTCCCTCCATTCACATTAAATTCGCATAGCATAGTTGTTAGGAATATATATGCTATCAGAGCTGCCAAGTTTATTAAAAAAGTCTGAGGAACAATGTAAGATGCAGTAATATTATGAACCACTTAGAATATATCAATTCTGGAATTGGAGGAGTATATCAATAAAATAAATATAATATATAGTGTTATTGACCCTAAATTCAGAACAATTCGCATAGAAATCTATGTAAGATAATTTTTGATTGATTCCAAACGTATCGGTTTGCAGACAGTTACATAGCAGATGATAGAATACGTTGGCACACTTTCTCTTAAAAACGAATTACCTATGTCTATCACATTTATAGGTCTTCAATCCGTATAACACCTATACAGGGTGAGATAAAAAAACTGAACAAAATCAAAAGCCATAATTTTTACATTTTTTTTAAATTTTATTGAATGAAAGTAAAAAAGGTCGAAAATAGCATTAAATTTTAGAATAAGTTTAGATTTGTTCGAATTGGTCGCCTTTGGCACGAATTATGGCCTTCAAACGGCCAATGAAGCCGTCACATGCTGCCCGAATGTTGCTCTGCGGTATTTCCGCCCATACCCGGCGAAGCGCTTTCTTGAGCTGATCGACACTTTGGTATTTTTTAGTGCCAACCTTGCATTCCAAAATGCTCCAGACACAATAGTCCAACGGATTGGTATCCGGGAATTTTGGTGGCCATTGTGCGCTGGAAATGAAGCGAGGAACCTCATTTTGTAACCATTCATAGGTGGCGTGTGGTGAGTGCGATAGTGCTGAGTCCTGTTGGAATGTCAAAAGTCTGCGGCCAAAATGTGGGCGTCCCCAAGGTTTTAATACAAACTCAAGAATATTTTCGCGATAATATTCAGCATTTATTCTGATGCCATGTTCGAGTAATACGAGCGGAGAGCAACCATCGGCTTTTATGGAGGCCCACATCATCACCATGGCCGACGCTTGAGTTCTGGTGGCCAACCGAAGATGCACATTTTCAGCTGACCTCTTTGGCAAGTAAACACGATCATTTCGTATGTTTACAAACTGCTGGACAACAAATGTTTTCTCATCGGAGAAAACTAAATTCGGCAGTTCACCACATTCGGCAAAGCAAAGCTGTGTAAGTTCTTGCACTTCTCGGAATTTCAATGGCTTACCCCGAGCTCATTTTTCAATATTTGCCGAATGGAAAATTGTGATATGTTCAGATCACGAGCCATTTTCGGCTACGCTATCAGTATCACGGTAGCGATCGATGGTAGGAGACACAAAAGATTTATTCACACTAAATGCTGGAGTGCTCTAACGATAGTCACTTGTGGTTTTCCAGCAAATATAAAGACACTATCGCGCTTGAATTCCATCACGAACAACTTTTTTTCTGGAAAATTCTCACCAAAATGCTTTTGTACGCTTGTAAACAATATAATGAGCTCTCACTGGAATATTGTTTAAAAGCTGTCGGAAGAGTGGCTTAGAAATGACATTAGTCTGACGTTGGTTGCAGTTTTTTCATCTCACCCTGTATGATTATTGCTAGAAGTAGAAGTTTATCCGTCCGAAGAACGGTAGATATTCCCTTGACTGTTGAAGTTCTGTAAATATTCTTACGATATAAAGAACTTGATTCAAAGATATAATTTACAAAGATTATTGACTCCAATTTTAATTCGATATATAAGATTCATCATTTCATCCAATCTATACAACATGCCTGCTAGTTGGGCACAAATAGAAGGTATCAATAAACTCATGTTGGAAATCTATGATAAGTGGACAAAAAATGTCAAATTTTATTAAAAAAAAGGATTAAAAGGTAACCGCAACTGAAAGCTGCTTATATCGATTTACAATTTTCAACTCAAAGTAATACAAATGCGGTCCCGGGTACATGCTTAAGTTCGGAAATAATAATATCATAACGTACGAAAAGTGGTCTTCTGGTCTACCTATCTAATGTTGCAATGGCTATGAAACACAACAAAGACCTTTAAAACGTTTTAATTCTGAAATAGTCATAGTTAGAGGATGCGCAGTCGCTAAAGCAACTACTTCACTCGGAGACCTGCTGGTCCATTGTGATCATCCTAGTTGGAAAGAAGGGAAAAGGAAGTAGAGAAATAAAAAAGATAATGTTATAATAGAGATTATGTCCATGAAGAGATTATCGTTTTGTCTTTAGACATTTTAGTCTTTTGGCTAACAGAAGAATTAATGTTGCCTCAGTATCGGAGAGTGAAGATAAGTCATGCTTCTGTCTGGCTCCAAAAAGAGTTGGACAATGACAGTTTCTATCTTCTCCTCATCTTGACAAAGCCGGCAATATTCAATATCACCCGCCACAAACATTTAGAAGTCTAGGCTTTGATATGACCTGTGTTTAAGCCTACCACAAATTTTGGGTCAAATTTCACCATGGAAGTGAGTGATGTCTAGTGGACCATGAGGTTTTGGCTACCGATTATAGTCCAGATGTGCACAACATCCATCGAATTATTATTGTGCATCCAATAATAGCTCCCTCCGTTGTTAATCGTTGAAATTTCTCTTAGAATCAGATTTAGAAATGGCCTCTGATCAGTTGGATTTTAAGGTCGTCTGAGTAAGTAGTTCCCTTCTAATGTGGAAAGCTGGAAACCTGGCTCAGGGCGGACTTATATCTTTATTATATACAGTTCCTAAAACTCCCTTTCCTTAGAAGTTTACAGCCAGACGGCAACCCATAAGAATAATGTTATCATCTTAGAACACAACAAACCAATGTGAACGTAATGAAATTGTATTTCATCGAATGTTGTTGTTGTTGCTGTTTTTCCTGATTAATCATCATTGTCATCGATGGTCGTTGGTTGTAGAGAAATTGTTTGTAATGTGTTTGAAATACAAAAACATATATATTTTTTTGCAACTACATAATTTTTTCATTAATGGCAAGTAGTTTGCGACAGTTGTACTCGTAACATCTTGAAGACCATGAGAGGGAGTGTGTTGTTGAGAATATTGCTCATGAAGAAATATGCTGATATTTAAAAAAAGATAAACAATTTGTAAATATACTACTGGGTTTGGCAAGCTGCTATGCTATATGGAATGACTCATTTTGGAATTTACAAATTTTATTTTAGCGTCTCTGGTTGTAAATATAAACGTTTCTCAGTACGAAGTTAGAGGCAGGGAAGCAATCCGAAACAAATTCGTCCTATAAAAATTGCGTAAAGAAGGCTAGACTACCTGACTCACCATTCTGTTTGTCTGTCATATTTCTTTATTTATAAAGGGAGAAATTGTAACTACTCAATAAAAATCGAAAAGAACTGCACCACACAAAATATGGAAAATCTAAGCGCACATTAGCTACCATAAATGATAAATTTTCAACATAGTCCCCGGACGGAATCTCAATGGTAATGCTGAAACAGCTGGATACGCCGGGAGTCGAGTACTTAATGAAAGTTTTTAACCTATCGCTAGCCACCCAAATAGTGCCCGAAGCCTGGGGCGGGTGGTCCTGCTATTGAAGCCAGGCAAGTAAAGGCGAATGGTATAGGCCGATTTCGCTTCTGTCGCCACTAGCTAAGACTCTTGAGGTTTTACTCCTCTCCAGCATTAGAGGAAGCTATCCAGTCGCCAAACATCAGCACGGATTCCGTCCACAACACCATTACACGCCATTTCCACACATACTAGTAGAGGATTGAACCAGAAAAAGCCGTGTGACAGAACAGTGTTGGTAGCCCTTGACCTATCAAAGCCATTTGATAAGATCAATCATGTCATATTGGTTGAGAGCTATAATATAGCAGGCAGATCTTAGTACCTCATATTTTCGGGACTTTAGGGTTTTTTCAGAAAGTTCCGGTACAAAAATACCAATTTTCTTGTGTTGCTTTCGAACCAGAAAGTAGCGGACATAATTCCCATAATAATGGAGATTATGTCCAAAACGATTGCGGACATAAACTCCATTATGGCGTAGGAATTTTCAACCGAATTATGTTTTAAACTGACTATATGAAAGCCTGATCATATGATATCATCATATGACCACTTATTGAATAGGTACTTCCAAATGATCTTGTTAAAATTGCCCCCTCATAATTGTAATGGGTATTATGTCCGTCGACTCTGTTTGTTGAGATGTAATGGTTTTTGTACTGCGCGTAGATGGCCAGTCTTGGCCAATACAAACTTATAATACCCTCTTCACAGTGTGGCTTAAGGTATAACAATTCAAATGTTACCTTGCAAAACATTTTAATACGTATGCAGAAATCAATCATAATA